AGCCTTGACACATTCTCTTAGCAGGTCATAAATGAAAAAGCACAATTGATTGCGGTTTCAAAGGGTGTATTTTGCTATTCGTCTTCATTGTTTTAAAAATTTGAACCCTGTTGTGTAGATATGAATGGCGGGCATGCGACAACATTGTCATGGTAATTGCTGGCACGTGTATTTATTGTAATACTTCTCAATCATTTAATTCGATGCTGGCAAAATGTGCACCTCTTGCTGTGGTAACTGTTGAAAATAAATTTATTTCTAAACCTGTAAGACTCACACAGAGATAGTAAGTTGTTAAGTTCTTGATTCTTAAAAAATTGTTTCGTTTGTAATCTATTTGAATATGCTTTGAAGATCTGCATCAGAAAGTTAAATTAAAAGTGCAAGTATTTACTTTTTTCGTAAAGATCTTATATTTAAAGGATTAGTAAAAGGTGGTTTTTCCTAAGAAAACCATTTGAAATACAGCTGGATCAAGTCAATAACACCAGCAGTGACCAATCACAACGCCTGTCTATAGATATCAACCAATCAGAATCGCTAGATCGACACGTGCTAATTTGGCGCTAATTGTTAGTGTATGAAAAGCTAAACAAAATTTTGCTGTCATCTTTGACCGCACGTTATCGCGGCAAAGAGCTCGTAGTTTTGGTTCGGTAAAAATTTTAGAAAAATGGAGGCAGAATTAAGTTGCCCTGTTTGTAACAAGCCATTTGTCAACCCTATAATCTTGCCATGTTCTCACAACATTTGCTTGGGTTGTTCGCAGTCAGCGTTGACAACTGCCGGTGGAGACAAATCTGCGACTGATCGAAATGGAACACAGGTTGACACTGAGGAAACACCGTACATCACTTTTTACGACATGAATCACTTGTATCAGAGCATAGGAAATCTACCGTGTTTGAAGTGTCCAACATGCAGCAAACTATTTCCCATCGACGGCCAAGGGATCAGTGGATTTCCCCGCAACCGCCTGTTGGAAAATATTGTTAATCGGTATTATGCTAAATCGAATGGAATTGTTTATTGTCAACTTTGCGAGGAAACCCAACCTTGTCAAGCAACGGTTATGTGCGAGCAATGTGAAGTTGCTTATTGCGATCGATGCTGTAAAACTTGTCATCCTAGCCGCGGTCCTCTAGCGAAGCACTCTTTGATTCCTCCCACAAGTTCGAAGTCGCCTAACAAACCGACTGTAGTCAAGTGCGGTAGCCACAGCGAAGAAAACATCAGCATGTACTGCGTATTCTGCCGAGTTCCTGTTTGTTATGTGTGTTTAGAGCGAGGACAGCACAGTGGGCACGAAGTGAAAGCTTTAGGAGCGATGTTTAAAGAGCAAAAGGTAAAAATAAAATCGTATCTAATTCGTATTATTTTATCTTTGACCAGAGGAGATAATCAGCTAACTTCATGAACTCCTCTCCACTGAGAAATCATATAAACTATCCCTGTGACTAAATGTAACACCTGTAATTTGTTTTTTCAGTTTTGTTTTTGTCTTTTTTATGAAGAAATTTTTGACATCACAGAAGTCGAAATTGCCTTTCCAGCATTTTACTAGCCTCTTGTGCGAGGATGTATTTTTCTAGGGAAGATCTTGAGCAATATGCAAATTTGAGTAATGTGAATATTTAATGGTTACAAGCTAAGTTATCGAAGTCAAAAATGGGAAAGTTTTGGTCAAAAGCTATGAAGAAAACCATTAATTTCTTTTTTTTTAGCTTTTGCATCGAAGCCCCATTTTTAATGATTTATTGATGTATTTTGTGAAAAAACTGAATGTACATAAATGTATTGTACTTCTTAATTACTATGAGACAATTTTTAAAAAATTACTCCTATGATAGTTTCATTTTTCAGTTTGTAATTTGTGTATGGTAAACATTTCTAAAATTGTTCACCTAGAATGACATTGTGTCTTATACACCCTAATTATTTTGTTCGTTCTAGAGCTACAGATGTTACCAACATTTTGTATTTACATTGAAACAGTACACCTCTTTTTAAAAGGATCGTAGAAACTGTTGATTTCTCCGATGTAGCCATATTGAATTCTGAAAATTTTGTTATTGATGTTATTTTCTGGCCCCATTTTTAGTGACATGTCCATTCTCTTGGGTTGAATCAAAATAGTTTAAAAGATATGCTGAAAATATTGTAATTTTGAGGGCCTTTGCTGCCAGATATTAAGGGAAATAATTAGTCAGTGAGTGACATGCTGGCATACCCAGGAAAAGGAAATTTCAAACTCTCCCATTAGGAACATAATCTGAATTTTATGACTATAATAATTCTTCTTCAAAGATGACTCTGAAAAATTTCAACACCTGTGCTTTTTTCAGTTTTGCTTTTTTGCCTTTTTTTGAAACAAATCATTTTGACATCATTATTGTAAAGGTAACGAGTACAGCAACTTGCTTGATGCAGAAGATTATCTACAGCAGACAAGAGACTCGGCAGGCCATCAGTCGAGGAAAAAGTGATCAACAGACATCTTGACGATAATGACAATTTCAACTTTGATGCAATTGTTTTTGGACAATGATGAAAATGAAGAGGGTGAATTTTAAAGCTGGCAATAAAAGTGACATATGATGTTCTTTCAGTCTGTGACACAACCATGTTGGGAAAGAGGAATTTTGAGCCCTTACTACAAGATTTGAGTCTTTGATCATCCAATTATCTGTGGTGCTTCAGACACTTTCCCAACAGAGCTATCAAGGTTCTAAGTTCAGCTCTTTTCAATGTTAAGAGGTGCATTGTCACCAGAAATAAAATTATTAGTCACCAAAAATAAAAACACAAACAAAACAGTTTTTTGGCCTAATATCCTGTGATAGATGTGTATTTGTAGGAAATTGAAATGTTTAGTATGTTGAGGAAAGTGAAAGATATTTTTAGTCAGTGATGTAGACATACTTAGGAAAAAAGAAAGTCCATGGTTAGGATCATATAACAAACATCTCATGCACAACACCAGTATTGTGGAGCTCATGGGTTCAAATCCCTTACAAACCTGAATTTTTTCAGGCCTTATTTTTATTACTGCTTAAGTCGTGTTCATTACTGTGACGATCACTTTTCAAATTCATTTCTTAAACCGAAGTTCACCCACATGATTTTCATATATTTACAGTCATGTGTTACAGGATCTGAATGTCAGTATGATATCTATGTGCAGTGATGAAAATGAAAAATAGTATGAAAGTGAAATGATTTTCTTTGCACACAGATGCAAGCAAAGTTTGAAAAAATAGATTTTTTTTTTTTTTTAGAAAAATTCTGTTTGACCTTTAAGTTGATTTATCCTTGATTTATTCTGGTTTATTCCTTAGGCTGAACTTTTAGCCAGTATGAAGTTACTGGATGGAAAAAATAACGATTTGAAAAACTTTATTCAGCTTCTTAATGGAAACTGCTCGATAATCCAGGTAATGCACAACTGTGGTTTAAATCAGTGGTTCTTGTCTTAGAGCTGAATCTGAGGTTCTCACATCTTAAAATTAAAAAAAAAAAAAAAAAAAAAAAAAAAAAACAGAGAAAAATTACACAGGTTATCCAAAAACAAAACCTGGTGACCTGTGGTGCCTAGGCTGTGGCACCTAGGCTTTGCAATAGCACTGCCTGGTGACTTGTGGCAGCTAGGCTTTGCAATAGCATTGCCTAGTTACCAATAACTGGTTATGATATTATTATTAACCCTTTAACTCCCAGATCAAATTTGTAACTCTCCTTACTCCCAACCATACAATTCTTATAATGTTAGTTCTGAGAATTTAGTATTGGTTCAACTAATTATCCCCAAATTTATATTTTTCTTTACTCTCATCACTTATCTTGTTGATATTGTGTTGATATTGTAAGGAGAAATTCTGTCTTGGTCACTCATGAGAATTAAAGGGTTAATTAATTTATTTTATGAATTGAATTGATTATGGTGCTTGATGACGATAAGGGACAATGCAAATTTTTTTATTTTTGAATTTATTTTGAGAATTTTTTTGAAGGAGGCTAGGGTATAGTTTAATAGTGTTCATCATCTTTTCATTCATTCATTCATTCACTTCTCAAATTTCCTTTTTCCAGGAAAATGGTTTAGAATTTGAAGCTAGTGTGGTAGCTCAATGTGATTCGTTGATAAATTTCATACAGCACCGTAAAGTGGAGCTAATTGAAGCCATCACAGCAGAGATGAACTCCAAGACACAGAAGATCAAAGAGCAAATCAAAGCTTGTGAAGAAAAGGGTAAAAAAGTAGCAGGGGTGCTCCAATATGCTCATGAATGTTTACAAGGAACTGATGCAGCCTCTTTTTTGTTGGTAAGGATTTTTTGAAAAAAACTCAATTGATCATTGATATATAATGATTGTGTATGGGAGAAACTCTGGAAAAGTTTACTTGAATGTGGATAAATTGATCTGGATAGGTCTGATGATTTTACTTTTATCTTTCCAGGTTGCTAACTCTCTCAATGGAAGGTGAGTTGATTTTTTTAATATTGGTTGTAAGACGAGGATTACTGCATGAGAACTGAAGTTATGAATAAGGTGTTATCAAAATTAATCTTAATGGCATTCAAGGGTATAAGTTCATTGTCTGATTAACTGAAATTTGTCATATGATCAAATAATAATTACAGTTTAATGATGGAAAAAAAATCTTATAAACTATGCAAAAATGATCATTTTTTCGCAGAGTTTGTGATTTACAAGCTTGAAATAGTCCTAGAAGGGGTCAAGAAGCTTAATGGTTCATTTTCTTCTTTCTTCTGTACAATCACAGAATTTTGAATGTTGTTAATCACTGGTCGAAAGAAGTAAAACTTGAACCAACTACTGGTGTGGAACTGGAATTGACTTTGGACACATCAGGAGCAATACAAGCCCTCCATGATTTGCACTTCATAGAACTCAAAGGTAAATGATTCAGTGGTATGACTTATACCCCATTCTCACCAAATTGTAAAGATGTTTAAAAGCTGTTTTTTCAAACACAGTTTAAAATCGTTTTCTTCATAGAAGCTCCCTTAAACCTATGTTTGTCAATTCAAATTTAGCACACTGAAAATACAAGTTATTGCCTACTTGAAACCTACAGGAAATTCAGTTGTTCAATTATCTATTTCTGATTATCATTCAGTGAAACCTAGTTTAACAAAACATGTTTTGCTGGTGTGAATGGCATGTTAGGCACTGTTGGTTTACAAAAAGAAAGTGTATTTTGGGACTATCCTTGGGTCAATGAATGCAGTTGTTAACCCTTTAACTCCCATAAGTGACCAAGAGAGAATTTCTCCTAACAATATCAATACAATATCAACCAGATAAGTGATGAGAATAAAGAAAAATATCAATTTGGGGATAATTAGTTGATCTAGAACTAAATTCTCTGAACTAACATTATAAGAATTGTATGGTTGACTGTAAGAAGAATTACAAATTTGATCTGGGAGTTATAGGGTTAAAGAAAGAAACCTGCATTGACTGAATGTGATGTGCTTGACCAAAAAGAGCTCCTCATAGTTTCCTCATGTCATTTATTTAATTGTTTATTCTTTTGCAGCTCCAATAGCCCCAGAAATAGTCCCAGATGAATGCACTGTCACAAACAATGCTATCACCTTATCATGGAGACCTCGAATCAAACAGAGCTGTGTTGATGGCTATGTGGTTGAGATTGATGATGGTACTTCAAGTGGTAAAGAGGACAATTTTCAGGAGGTGTATCGTGGGAGTTGTCTGGAGTGCACTGTATCTGGCCTGCAATTTAACTCTACATACAGAGCAAGAGTCAAAGGTTTCAACAAGGCCGGGGAGGGTGCTCCAAGCGATGAGGTGTATCTGACGACATCTGATGGTAAGAAAAAGATAGTAATTGTTACATATTAGAGTGAAATACTGTCCTCATTTCCTAGAGTCTCCCACACATTTTGTTTTCCAAACTGGAGTTTTTTTGTATACAATATGGATGAAGAAAAAAAATTAAGTCTATGACTTTAAAAAAATTTGGTTACAAGTGCAAAGTAACAGCAATAGTGGAGAGATTACTAGGATGGAACAAATTTCTGAAGACCACAAGAAATAGCCATATCTTCACTGTTATTCAAAGTGAAATAATTTTTTATGGTTAAGGTATCATAGAAGGAAAATTAGCATTTTCAGTCAAACTGAGATAGCTTGAAAATTGTGCACCCTAACCCTGTAAATTACTGGAAAGATATGAAGATCATTTTGAGAACTGCAGATAAAGAATTGAATATGGAATCAATCTGTGCAGTTTTGTACACTACTTAAGCAGTAGTGGAAATAAAGCTTATACAGGCATGAATTTTTTTTCAATCCTTATTTTCACTACTGCAGAAGCAGTGTTCAAAACTGTGAAGATCACTTCCATTTCCAACCCTGTTTAAGTATATATTTTCTTAAAGCTTACTAAAAGCTGACTTTGGATGTGTAATTGAAGAGTAATGGGACAGAACGTTTGCAGGGTTCATTATTTTATGACCTTTGTGAGACAGGTAGGGATACAGCTTTCCAGGGGTCAATCTTTTCAGATAAATTTGGAACAAAATTACACCAGAGTATTCTGACCTGGAAGTGCTTAACTACATACTGTTAGTTTTAAGCTTAATATTTTCCCCTTGTATTTTAGTTGCCTGGTTCTCTCTGGATCCTGCTACTGCCCATCCAGACATAGTTCTTACAAATGACAACTCAACAACAACATGCACTAGCTTTGATGACAGAGTTGTGCTGGGTAACATTGGTTTTTCCAGGGGCTGTCATTACTGGGAGGTGACCATTGATCGCTATGATGGAAACCCTGATCCAGCAGTTGGTGTTGCCTTAGCAAGCACCATCAAGGATTCCATTCTGGGAAAAGATGACAAAGCATGGTGCATGTACATTGATAGCAGTCGGAGCTGGTTTCGTCACAACAATGAGCACTCCAATCGACGTGATGGTGGGGTAGATGTTGGTTCAGTAATCGGAGTGTTACTGGACATACCAAATCACAAAGTGACATACTATTTAAATGACCAGAAGAGAGGTCTCATGCGACTGCCTGATACTTCCGAGGCATTTTATGCCGCATTCAGTTTGAGTCGTAATGTACAAATCACATTGCATACTGGGCTTGAGCCTCCAGAAGAGGCATTAGTTTATTAATAACAACAAGTAGAGAAAAACAATTACAATCTGTAGCATTGAAACAGACAAGACAGAGAGATGTACTCTGACAATATATAGGGGAAAGGTTTTTTGGACAGTAATTTTTTTTGGTGGTTTGCTTTTTTCTGCTTTGCTGTGAATGGCAAAGAAAAATTCTGGACCATGGTCTTTATTATAAAAAGTTAGACTAGCCAACCAGATTCATGGATTTAAGATTCCAGCTTGCTGAGATGCTTCAGAAAAATGAAAAAACTAAAATTATTTAAAGAATGAAGAAAATTGTTTACAGTGATGTAATTTAACTCTAAATTATTGCTTATGAAGTAAGATGTGTCATAATTTATTTACAACAAGTTGAGTTACAAAGGTGAAATGTTATTTTATTAATGGTACTGTTGATTTTGTAATTATAAGAAAATTATTTTATTACTGATATTTAACAAAAAACTGGTGTAATAACTGAGTCCCTTGGTAAGCTTGAACTACAGGGATAATGTAAGTGAAGAACAAATACTACAAAAATATTTTTCAAATTTGGTTATAAGTCTGAGCTGGCTAACCTGACTAATTAATATATTAAGAACAGGAAATAGTTTGAACCCAGGGTAAATATGATAGTGTAGTCTGATCGTACAGGTGAATGTAGTCCTGACAAAAACTGTTGTTAGTAATGGTGACTGATGTTTCCACAACCTGAGCAGAAGTAATCATCAGAGTTAATTGAATAGTTGTTGTCAGTAGAATGTTTTTAGTTCAGTTAATTATGTAAAGTGCAGCCAAGGAGTTGAACCCAGGGCAATTACCCAAGACAAAGTTAGAGAATGGTTGGGTGGAGACCTTGAATTTGTGATTTCCAGATTGCAAGTCCAGCCATTTGGCTGCACTGCTTCCAAAACAGAAATTCAGGATTAAACAGTGAATTTTAACTTTTAGACTGTGACCTCAAGATTATTCTGAATTTTTATTTATATATTTATTTTTTTATAAACTGAATGAAACCTTATTTCAAGTATTTCATATTCTTTTGATGGATGCCTTTCCTATGATCCGTTGTTCATTTTATTCGTCACAGAATTGATTTTGTGTTTGTTTGCAATCGGGTGTAATCACCCAGGAAAATAACTATTGCAAATATTAATGTAGTTGCTACGTTTTTAATGGTTTTACAAGGTTTTATTCATTTTTAAGGGCCTTTTTTTCAGGTTGATGATTCTAATATTGCGAGGTGATAAGTGATATGATATTACTTATATTGTTGTTATTTGTTGCAGGTATATAACTGTGTGGTATTTATTTAACAAGTTATTTATATACAAAACAATTATGTGAGTCGTTAAGTTAAGTGCAAAGAAAATCGAACAGTCAAAAGTAAACGTAATATATTGTATGTCACACTTTGTCCTCTCTTTGGCAAATGTGTAATTCTGAAAGAAAGACAATGCATTGAAAATGCTGTTATACATTACTTTTTAATGAGTGATTATGTTAAGTAGCGTGAAAAATAAATTATAGAGATGTGTACTTGTTTTGACCTTCTTGCTTTGTTGTGTGACAGTCTATTTTATGGTATTTTGTGTACTGCTTTTAAGACTTTGTAAATAAGATGAAGGCTTGAAGTTCACCTTAGAATTATGAGTAAAGTTACATTTCATATGCAGATGAGTATTTTCTTGTCTCTATCATTACAAAGTCACCCTTAGCCTCTATTCTGTTCAGAGGCGTGGTATCTAAGCACATAGTTGTAAATTGACTATCCACGTGATTTCTTTCGTGATGTTGACGGCAATATGATCTAACTAATGATTAGTAAAGTCCCTTAAAGAAATTTAAAGAAAACACTACGGTAAGGACTTGTAGCAAGCAGCTAACAAAAGAGCCGTCCCTATTTCCGGTTGCTGTCGAGTGTTAAGGCCTCCTGGACTGGAAAGAGTTTTGACACCATATTTGAGTCTTCATGAGTAATTTTTTTTATTAAAGAACACTTTGATTTCCCAGATTGATAGACCTTCAGCAGTATCAAATTAACAGAAAAAAACTCGCACTCCAGTTCACAAGAGATATACCAGTAGATCATGGGTGCTGCAATAAGTTATGTCCTTAAGTAACTTTACGTCGTTAAATATCTTTTTTGATTAGGTCGCCACTTAGAACTTTCAGGTTACTTGATCAGATCACCAGGTGATCTTTAGCCATGCAAATGCGACACGGTACATTGAGTTGTTGGTAAGGCTGTGGGTCAGGTATCCCGTTGAGTTGTTGACTCAGCATACTTCGTCTTAAGAGTCGTCAATGCCATGATTAATCGCCATTCAGAAGCCATTTAACATCAGCTTCCACCCCACAATCTTCGATTAAGGTAATTCTATTCTCAAAATTTAGGGTTTATTGTTTAATCAACGGATAACGCAACGAAGTTTCCAAACTGCGATTTTTAAGACTAGAAGATGATTGCGACACTGCCATAATGTTTCAAACAGTTTTGATTAATATGCTACAAAAAGTTCACTTCCTTTGAAATCTCGTCGATTGCTATTGAGCTTCAGTTTGTTTGTTTGTTCTTAAGCACTGTTTCATAGTTCACGTTAAGCTCAATGGCTAAGGAATGAATCTCGGTTGAGCTGATTGAATCATTTTTAGTTTCAAACGTTACATCGCTTGTGTAAGTATTTCCGGCCAAATTTAGGTTTTATATTCAGGAGTGCAGAGCTTAGTTATTAGATTCTCAATACTTGTGAACTTTTCACTTGCAAATGCAGCCGGTTATTTCAATACATGATAACTGATTCAAGTTAACTGAATGCTGAGTAATTTGTGTGGATGCTACGCGGATGTTTCATGCGACTGATTTCATATGCATGTCCAAGGTATGTCAAGCGAAACTTTGTGGCGACGACAAAAAGAACCTTTATCTACTAAGCAAAAGACAGCACTTGCTTTAGGTTCAAGAACTGTGGTTTATTGCCTTTAAAAAGTAGCTTTTGGTTTTTTAGTAAAACAAACGATACGTTTTTGGCATTGGAATTTTAGTTTTAGAATTTCTATGAAATGATCTGGTAAAGGACCAATCTGTTAGAAGGAAAATTACCGATTAAATGAGTAAATAATGCACATGTCAATTACAATACCAGAGTGTTCTGTTATTCGTAACACAGCTTTTAGATTTATCATCAGTCAGGTTCAGTGGGTCGAAAAGTAATTTTCCTATGCATAGCGTATGGCGATGTAGCGGCAGTAACTGCGACATCGGCCACCCGACTAATTTAGCATCTCTCTCGACAAGAAAACTATGACTCTAGATTTCCATTGTTTTAGACAGTTTCATATCATCGTCGTTTTCTTGTTGCTGGGTGATTATCATGGAGTGATTTAACAAATACGCCGCCGGTTCAATCGTTTAAGAGAGAAGATAGTGATGAAATGGACAAAATGAATGAGGAAATTAATTCAAATTTGTGCACTGGGGTTGCGAGGTAGTTATGTACAAAAAACACGTCCAAACTTGCCGAGTACACACCAGTTAACGACATCAAATTCAGATGATGAATTCCATGTTGTTTCGCTGACAGGTAGTGTTTTTGAGTCTTCAGAAGCAAAGTCAGCTTTTTCAGTAAGATGCCTAATGATTTTAAAATTTTGCGTTTTTAATTTTGAGTTTGCAAGTTCAAGTTGAATGTTTAATCGCTATTTTGTATAATTTTTAATGCGTCTAATTTCACATTAGTTGTTAATAAGAGCTCAAGCAAATGATGACAGCGACGACCAAGCGAATTTTGATTTAATGTTGACGGTATTAGTAATAGACCAAGATATTTCATGTAATAAAATATGTTTATTGTTCATCATGGTGTAAGATAGGAGATGAACTTTATTTATTTGTCTCACGATAGAGTCACTTTTGATGTTAAACGCGACTTTTCGACCGCAATACTGCTAGTCTTCATCAGGCGATAAGGTCGGTTGTTTACGTGTCGCCATTTGTCTTAATAAGCAAGCGAGCTTGCGTGGGTATCCCTTATGGCGACGAATCAAGTGACTCGTCGTGAGACAAACGAACAAAGTTCATCTCTTATCTTATACCACGATGAACAATAAACACATATTTTATTACATTGAACAGAAATATGGGCGCAAAGCCCGAAGGTTGAATGCAATGGGTTTTCATTCTCTAAAGTTGTTGTAACCTCTGAGCAACTAGATCCCCAAAGTTGGGTTACTTTAATACTATTGCTGCCAATCTGGCGGGGTTGAAAATTAACCATATCACGCAATACTTTTTAAGAGCTAGATCGAAAATTAGGGATTTTAAAATTTAAATACAGTCGTGGCAGCGTATCAAGCAGTCACCGTGTATTTAGCGGTTATTTTTCAAAGTCCCGAATTTTTCTCCGTAGTTTCTACAATTTTAACCTCTATTGAGCGGTCATGGTCACCCTTTACTAATTCCCAACGGCCTGTTGGCGTTTTGTATCGCTTTTTAAAACACCCCTGCATTAAGCGGTCAGCTTCTCTTTAGCAGTCACCTCGTCATTCCCCGTCGGTGACCGCTTAAGACAGGCTCAACTGTCTCTCCAATGGGCAACATTGTATGCTGATGAGCATTTACTGTCACAGTAGAAACCTATCAAAGTATTATGTTTCTGATCAAAATAGGTTTTGGCCTCTATACCATTTCAATTAAGCATGCCGTTAATAGTCAAATATATGCGTCAGTCAATTACTATGCGGAAATAGTTTACCATGGCCTGCTGATACGTTATTTTTTATAATTAAATTGTCAATAAATAATTTTCCTCAGATCGCCAAAAAGCACGGTTAACCGCCTTAAAGACCATTTCCAAGGCAAAATGGCACTACAACCATTTCGGGACGAGCAGTTAAACTATTTCAAATTCGCGTCTATTGTACTGGATGAGTTCCCAAAAGCCTTACGTCAGACGTTCACGTCCATGTGGGACAACACTTTGACACATCTTCCCGGTCATCAGCCGTGGGATGACTCCGCTGCGATAAGAAATAAATTCCTTACTTTAGAGGGTGGCCCTGGCAGAACCAAAGTTCCCACAAACCTCTCCTATGAAGAATGGGATTGCACCGCCCTGTTCCAGGCCACCATCCACGCCAAGTCCTTTGCTTTGCCCGACAGTGGAGGTCATCACAAGACACTCGGTGAGCTGTTCGTGAAACCTCGGAAATTGGCTCATGGAGTTTTCCATGCATCGGTGACCAGCCCGAGCGGAAACAATGCTGAAACGGTTGCACTCGCGATTGATCAGGTTCGACTTTTAAGAAATTCACTTTTTCACTCGCACACTTCTGAAATTACTAAAGCCACCTTTGACCAGTACGTGAAGCACGCTAAAGATGCATTTGAAGCTCTTGGTGTCAAGACGGACCCTATTGATGTCATCGGTGGTTTAACAGAGTCAGAATTTCCCACAAATAAAGTTCGTAAACTAGAAGAATGTATCAAAGAGGAAAATCGAGCGTTTGTAAGTTTTCTGCAACAACAGAATCAACATCTGGAGGGCATTAGTTCAGATGTGAAAGCCTTGAAACACAAAATGGAAGTCATGCCTACCAAAGATGATATCTTCAAGATGCTAGAACAGATATTCAAGGACTTGATTCAGGCGCCAGCCCAGAACAAGCCAGGTAAATGTATGTTCAGTTTCGACAAATGTTTGATCCTTGTGACTCGAATACAAAAATCATTTACATGTTCAGACGATGGTTGAAGTTACGGGTCTATATTTTTAAAATGCTTACCCCTGTAGTTTTTTAAGTTAAGGACCATCAGAATTTCAAAATTTCTTTCAAACGACTTCGGATCATTCATGCCCTAAAAGGCCCTGAATATCATTGAACATTTTTCTAGACTTCTTTAAAATATATAAAATTCCCGGCAAGCGGTGCGCGCATTTCTCGAAGTGAAATTCTGATATATATATTTTTTAATCAAGCTCTTTAAAGTAACGGTACGTTCACTAAAGCAACTAACTTAGGAAGCAGTAATTAATCATTATGTTTGTTTTTCATTTAAACAGATAAAAATCTGACATCCATTAAACCAACTAAAGATACTTCACTGGATACCCACACTGCTGACCAAGACAGGAAGCAGGAGGAGGTCCCTTGTTTATCACATGGCTTGTTGAAGGTTGAATATGAAACCGCGGTTACACATTTGAAATCAGACGATTTCGTCTCGGCTCTTGAGTCTGCAAAACGTGCGCTTGACATTACGCGAACTCTGTTTGGAGAAGAACATCCTAAAATGGCTAACAATCACTTATTGGTCGGGCTCATTCAAATTGATTTAGGTAACTACGCATCAGCTTTTCAGTCTTGTCAAAGTGCGCTTGACATTAGACGAAAGCACTTAGGCGAGGAACACCCAGACACAGCAAAAAGCTATTTTTCTCTGGGCGTCACACAAAATTCCTTGGCAGAGTATGCAGCTGCTCTTCAGTCCTTCCAGCGCGCCCTTGACATCAGGAGAAAGCTGTTCAGCGAGCAACACCAGGACACGGCTCTAAGTTACCATTCTCTGGCGGTCACACAATATTCCTTGGGTGATTATGTATCAGCTCTTCAATCTGACCAGTGTGCCCTGGACATCAGGCGAAAGCTGTTCGGCGAGGAACACTCAGACACAGCCAACAGTTATGATTCTCTGGGAACCACACAACATTCCTTAAGTGATTATGAATCAGCTCAAAAGTCAAAACGAAGTGCCCTTGACATCAGAAGAAAGTTGTTCGGCGAGGAACACTCAGACACAGCCAACAGTTATAGTTCTCTGGGAGCCACACAACATTCCTTAGGTGATTATAAATCAGCTCAAAAGTCTAAACAGCGTGCCTTAGACATAAGGCGAAAGTTGTTCGGCGAGGAACACCAAGACACAGCCGAAAGTTACTCTTCGATCGGGAAAACACAAAAAAAACTAGGAGAGTTAACCTTAGCTCTTCAGTCTAAACAACGTTCACTTGATATCAGAAGAAAATGGTTGGGCGAGGAACACTTAGACACAGCAGAAAGTTACTATTCTTTAGGGGTCATACAACATTCCTTACGCTATTATGCATCGGCTCAAGAGTCTAAACAGCGTGCCCTTAACATCATGCGAAAGCTGTTTGGCGAGGAACACTCCGACACAGCGAAAATTTACGATTCTCTGGGGGCCACACAACATTCCATAGGAGACTGTGCATCAGCTCAAAAGTCTAAACAGCGCGCCTTGGACATCAGACGTAAGTTGTTCGGCGAGGATCACCCAGACACTGATCGAAGTTACTCTTCAATCAGGAAAACACAAACAAAATTCAGAAAGCAGACTTTAGCCTGTCAGTCTAAACGACGTTCGCTTAAAGTAGGAGATAAAATAAAAAGGAATTCTGAACAATAATTTATCGTATTTAAGCAAAGGATTTCACCCAGGGAACATTGATATGTACCGATGTGGCTCAAATCCCTTTGGTGATTTCGCTATTCCGAGGCGTGGTGCGGAAATTTCTGCATATCAGTGAGCCGAAGCGCAGATTGTTTAAGGGTGGTGTGTTGTCAAAGGTTTTAAATTTACAATATGGTGAACCTGTAGATATACTGTATAGAGTATGTAACCGTTATTCTGTCTAAAGTGAAGGTAAATAGTAGCGGTTATTTGCCGAGGCGCGACGGTGAGGCAGATCATTCTGTAGCATATACCTTACAAATACCGAAAAAATTAGTTCGTATCTATCATTATACCGAGAAATGTCAGAGTTTGGACTCTTGGCGCACGATTTTGTTTCTTTAGCTGCTCCGTGGTGAAAAGTACTCACTAATCACATCCGAATTAGTCAGTCAGCGCGCGCGAGAAGCACTATTCCCACTCATGATTCACACAACATCCGTTGGTGATTATGAATCAGCTCTAGAGTCCTGTCAGCGTACCTTTGACATCAGGAGAAGTTGTTTGGCGAGGAAAACTCAGACACAGCTGAAAGTTACAATTCTCTGGCGGTCACACATCATTCCGTAGGTGATTACGAATCAGTTTTAGTGGCTTACCAGTGTGCCCTGGATACCAAGAGAAAGTTGTTTGGCGAGAAACACTCAGAAACATCTCAAAGTTACCATTCTCTGGCGGTCAGTCACACATCATTCCTTGGGTGATAACGAATCAGTTCTTAAGACTTACTAGTGTGCCCTGGACATCAAGAGGAAGTTGTTTCGCAAGAAACACTTAGAGACAGCTGCAAGTTACTATTCTCTTGTGGTCACACAATATTCCCTAAGTGATTGTGAATCAGCATGTACCAGCGTGCCCTTGTCATCAAGAGAAAGTGTTTTTGCGAAGAAAACTCAGACACATCTACAAGTTACCATTTTCTTATGGTCACACAATATACCGTAGGTAATTATGAATCAGATCTAGAGTCTGATCAGCGTACCCTTGACACCAGGAGAAAGTTATTCGGTGTCCTGATGTTCGTCAACTCTGATTACATGTAAATAAGCTTAAAAAGGTCCTATAACTTTTGGGAAGCCAGTCGTGCCGAAAATATCAATCGTTGGTGATAAAACTCAATCGTTAGTGCTGGTTAGTACTTTCTTAGATAGTTAGGTCACAAGGAGAACCTGTTACTAGGGCCAATTCATTTATAACTTGTTAAGCTTCAACTGTAGTAGCAGGATAGTGGTGTAGGTAAAGGAGGATAGTTTCTTTTACGTTAGTCACTTCCGGTTATTCGTATTTCATTGTGCTTGCTGAGTTCCTTTCTAGGCATTATACATTCTCTTAATTTTTGTCCTATTGCTGCGCTCCCTTGATTAAGCGCCCTCTTTCGATAAAGCGCCCACCTCCCCACCCCTTTTACCCGAAATTTTTAGAGTAGTAGAGTAGTAGCATACGATCCTGCCGTCGGAAAAATTTTTGTTCCTGACAAGTAGTGAACATATCCATAGGTCTGAGTATTATGAAGTGATTAAAAATTATATCTCATTAACTGATCAACCCCTAAAATTGCCAGGTACCCTTTTAAGATCACTGTGATGCTTATGATCAACACACAATTCAATTCGTAATGAAAGATCAACCTTTGTTACAATACCAATATTATACTTCCTCAAAAGGCTACGACTAAACACACCATATGATAAAGTAAACCATCTCTTGAGGTAGAGACTACATGGCAATTTCAAATTAAGTGTTCAATCTAATCCCAGATTGAAAGTACTTTTACTTTACCACATTAAAAAAAAAACTTAAAAAACCTAAACCACAAGCACCTTATTCACTTCCACTTCCCACACTTTGGGACTTCTTTTTTGTTTTTTTCCTTATGGGTCCTTTTGGCTCATTGTGACATTTGCTCCTGTTCTGATTGGACATAGTGATTGTACTTTATTTGCTGGGTTTTGCAACACCCAAATAAAAAAGTGCTCTAAACTTGTGCAACAATATATACTTGATAGAAATAGTTTTGGATCTCATTGATCACATATAATTTATAATTACTTTAGATTTTAAACCACCCATGGCCATATGACATTCAATAAACATAAATTAAAAGCCATGATTTGATCTTCTGTTGTCAGTGAAAGAATCTTTTACAAAGGTAATTCTGTTTGTCTTCATGTTTGAGACCAAATTGTGTGTAAAAAGTCAACAGGGGATCTTTACACTCCAGACTGATCTTGTAACATCCTAATTTCTTGCCAAGTAAAATCAGTGTCTCAACAATCCTGAAGGAAAAACAACCAAGCAGATTTAGAAATTCTTGGGATGCTTTTTAAATTATCTTTGGATAGATATATAGTACCAGTAATTTTATCAACTCTTCTCCTTAATGAGTATTCTGAGTTAGTTTACAACACTTCGCAAGAGAGTTTGGCAAGACTGCATTTAACAGTTTACAATTTTTGATGGAAATTTTTTTGTAAGTGCCCCCAAGTTCGGATTAAGGCCAGAACCACAACACTGGGAGCTACATTTATGTTCCCTTTTTTTCCCTCTCTTGGTAAGACCAGTACAGAGAATATGCAGGAGATGGGGCCTGCAGTTTTAATGTCTAACCATGTGTATATGTCAAAACAGAGACAGTATAAATTTCTCCTTGGTTATTTTAAGATCCTGAGTGTTGGTTAACCCTTGTGAAACCTTGACCCTAAGAGTGACCAACATCTAATTTCTCCTTACAATATCATGCCTGAGTCACACATCAAGATCACAAGAATAAGGGTCTGATTGTTAAGCAAATTCTTCTCACCATTATCATACAAAATGAATAGAGAACAGTGCAGAGAAAATACACATTGATGTTAGAGTTACCTTGTTGCATTATCCCCCTTTTTTCCCTTTACCTGATAGTTTTGTTTTATAATTTTAAAAACATTTGAAATCCCCATCTTGAATGAAAACAAAACAGCCAGACCTGTTAAGTTATCAGGACCTTAGAGAAATTGGTCTCAGGTCCCTGAAGAACCCAATGCTATACTCACAGTTTTCCAATTTTTTTCCCTCTACAACTGCCGTCAACAACTATGTCCTCAATTCTACCTCTCTGAAATTTACAACAGAAATGCTATTAACTGTGGAGAATTGCTATTAACTCCCTGAAGTGATCAACATGCAACTTCTCTCAATAATATTCATATATTATCCAGCAAACAGTTAATAAGAATACTCAAACCTATCAGGTAGAGGTTTTCATGTTGATCTAACACCAAGTTCTTGTTACTAATTTACAAGGAAATGTGTAGCAGCAAGAGAAGAGAGTGTACAATTAGATCAGCAACTTCTGGTGGCTGAAGGGTTTTCAGTCCCCAGCAATTAAGAAAATTCAGCCACGAAGCCAAGGTTAAATAATTAATTTGGTCAATTAATGGCCCATTCAATGTCTAAAGCTATTGCCTGGGGGAAATAAATGAGCCTTTTTATAGCATACCTGGACATCCAGGGCAATTAATCAGATTGAGAAAAAAAAATCTGTGAGACAAAAGATTGCACAAAATGTGTCCATCAAGTAGACTATTGTTGTGCTGATTTTCTCTATTGCTCACCCTGATTAACTGCCCCTGGGTCTCTGAGGGTAGCTTCATGGCAGACTTTGGAGAGCCTTACATTTGGATCCTCACTTGTTACCTTTACCCTTCAGATGGCCCCAAAGAAAATTAGGACCTCAGACCTTGAGTTTAGCAACCTTGTATAGGGCTTTGTTCTCTTCCTCAATGACTCTTATTTTCCCTTTAAAAAACCTCCTGTAATTATCTCTTGTGATATGTCCAAAACAAAAACTTTAAGAAGGACTCAATGAGACCAGCTCTCCTTGGAAATGGGTACATACCACAGCTGTGTCATGGATGAATTTCTGTTCTACAACCAGTGTTCCACATGCAACTAGTTTTGCTAGTTTTACATCCTCTATTACAATAAGATAATATGTGCCAGGACAAGACTGCATAGCATGGAAGCGTTCTGAAGAGATTGAAAAAGAGAGTAGTCAATGAATAAGAGAGCAATCTTTGCTACAATGAATACTTCTTCAGCAGTAATGAGAAGAGCTCAAACTCAAGGTACTAGGAGATAGTAATGGCAGTTGGTACAGAGTTAGATGGCAAGTTTCATCATTTAACTTTCTCGGCGATTTTAGCCATAATCTGATCCAAGAAGATGAGATTCTTTCTACTACATGACCTTATCAGGAAAATGGATTCACAATAAAACTTCATCAGTATATAATTACTGCTTTTCTTCCAACAGATTAAGGCCGTAAAGTTAATACAGAAAGCTTGGAGAAAGCACCGAACCAAGAGGAGGGTAATAATTTCATTACTGCTTATGTAGTGTTCCTTACTGCAAAGATTGCTTTCAAATTCATATCTTAAAAGCAAAGTTTATTTATGTGATTTTCATATATTTACAGTCATTTATTCATCACTTCATGGGTTTATTATGAACCAACATAATGACCAGCTCCCAATTGGCTTGTTAGCTCAGTTGGTAGAGCACTGCTTTGGTGTTGCAGAGGTCATGGATAAAAATCCCATAAAAGCCTGAATTTTTTTCAGGCCCTATTTTCTCTGCTGCTTAAGTAGTGTTCATTACTGTGAAGATCACTTTCAAATTCAAGAATACCCTTATTGCATATCAAAGTCATTATTGGTGGGTCTTTTAGACAGTTCCATGCAAGTCTATCACACTTACCTAAAAACTTTTCTTTAGCCACTTCTCCAACCTTAGTAAGCTGACCTAAAAGTTGCAAGAAACCTGATGGAAAAATAGCGTAAGGGGGGGTAAGTTTCAAAGGAAACTATGGTGCTGCATTGGTGGGAGAGTATAACAGGGTAATTTCATATTATCAACTGAGTTGAAAACATAACTTGGCCATCATTTAGAGTTTCAAAGCTGATATTTCATTATTCCCTCTGATGAAGGGCTAACCCTCGAAACGTCAGCTTTGGAACTATTTATGGTGACCAATTTATGTTATCAATTCAGTTGGTAATACTAAATAACCCCAAAAGATAGTGTTCTTTTCTTTAAGTTTTTCTAAAATAAGTCTTAGATATAATCCGTAAGGTTAATTACTAACTAATCAATGAGTCTTTAACCCCTAGAAGTGATTACCATTAACTTCTCCCAATGATATCACCATCCAGCAGACAGGTAATGAGATGACTCAAACTTATCAGGTAAAAGTTGTTAACTTGATCTAACACCACATTCTTGACACTCATTTACAAAGAAATGTATAGTAGCTAGAGGGGAGAATTAAGAATCAGATCTTAGGAGTTAAAGGGTTGAAAGAAAAAGTTAGCTGATAAACACTTTTGTTTATTTGTCTGATATTTTGTACAATGGGGAATACAGCTCTGCTCATTTACCAATACTTTTATTATGCAGTATTAACAACAGTCTAAGAAACAATTGCTGATTTCCAGGGCCATTTAGAGGGTGGCAAAGGGTTTATTCATGATGCAAAATTGCACAAAAAATTAATATGTGATGCATGAATTTTACAGAAGGGCAAGGTAAGATGAGATTTGAAGTTTCCCCTTTAAAATTCATGACATGTGAAGTAATAATAAAAATGCATGTGGCATGAGTTTTCTAAACTGTTTTTGTCAATTCATTTCATTCATTTGGTTTACCTTTATCATAATCATCAGCGCCTAAAGGTCTCAAAATCAAATTATCACCAGGATTTTCCACTGATAAACCGCTCTCATGCAATCTACACTCTCCTTTACTGAGGTCAATGCCTTTCAACAGTTGTTTGTCAAACATGAGGTTGTCTTCCTCATTCTGAAAAAATAAAAAAATATAAATAAAAAATGAACCATTAAGATGAAGGAGAAAGGACATTAGAGGGAGGTCCAAAGTTCATGGAAAACAATTACACGATAGGAGCCCTTGATTGTTGTGAAATGATTTTATTTGTATGTTCTGTCGCGTGATAAATGGTACTTAATGTAATAGGAACACAAAATGAAACGTTACTGAAGTTTTAGCACTCAGATATAAGTTTGAATATTCTCTAAGAGACAAACCTTAAAGATTTTGCCACATCAATACAAATATTTCCATAAAAACCGAATCACTTTAATTTGCACTGATTTGACTTCCGGAAATTAATTTCAATTCCCCAGCGATAAAGTCAAGGGGCATTACATATGCGTCCATTTAGTAGTAGGACCATGGCATCAACAAAGATCAGTTTAATATTAAGTCGGGACAAGATCAATTCCAAATGCCACAGGCACAAAAGAACTTCAATAACATTCAAACAGATTTTTCGCAGAATTAGAAAACTCGTAAATGTTTATGTCATAATTTCAAGAAATCTTTCCCCTTTGTGAACATAACTACATTGAAACTATATTTCCTAGGAAAAATCCCATTTAGGAACACTCATGATAAGACTACTTCTGGTTGAGAATATAGTGAGTAGCGCTAAATATCATTAAAACCACCATATTTTGTGTACTCACCACCTTCGCCATATTTACCGAGAGGAAGTAAAATCGCCAAGGCATCGGCTACCATATATGGATACAATACTCCGAGGGAAGCCTCTGACCATTGTTATAATGTCACGGTAACGAAAATGGCGGCGTTTTTGTTCTGGAATTATTGACAGATGAGTAACGTAAAACGTCTAAGAAAGTGGAAAAATGAACGGTTAGAAGGCTTTGTTCAAAAGGTTCCGAGCTATTTCCTGTTTTCGATTTTAGATTATTTTCCTACGGTTTTTTTGTGGAAGAGAACAAGGTGCACAGCCTTGAAATGGACGAAGTTTTGGGCGGTCACGCCGTTGTCTCGGGTAGGCCTCCACGAATTCCAATGGCGCATTCTAAAAGACATTCTCTACAGTCTGGAGACTCAATAACTAAGTTCAACAAGCTAAAAAAGCATGCAAGCCAACCAAAGCTTCGAAAAGATGTCCTCAGTGGATCACTGGAATGCTTAAACTTGGACAGCTCACGAAGATATTCCAGTTTAGCGCAACTCAATGTACAGTCACTGAAGGCAAGTGCAAAAACTTTGAGTGCCAGTAATCTAGCCGCTATTTCAGACTCCAATCTTTCCTTAAAGGAAGCAATGCCGCTGCGAAGCTATGATCAACCGAACTCGTCCTTTGCCGACGCTAAGAGCCATTTTGAAGAGCTGGTTAAATGTTATTTTCGACAGCTCACGAAAGGTTGTGGAAACGAGAGCTGTCAAAACAAATTTTGTGTCTCCAGTAAGGGGGGAGTCAAGCTCGCCCCAGATGTGGCTGGTATCATGAGTATTGAATTAGCCACAAGAAACAAACAATACATTTGTACTCTCAGCAATCAAAAAACAGGTCCTTTGCCGGCCAAGCTGTTTGAAGGGGAACCAAACAAACCCAGGCCTTTTCTGCACTGTTTATTTTCAACCACTCCATTCCAAACACTATTCCAACCATTTTCGCAGAGGAGACATTCAGAAAAGGGTTCGAACTTTCCGACCAATTTGATTAAATCAAAGAAAATTTATGAAAATCAAATATCAGGATCCTGGAATATAGTTGAAACTGAAGTTAAGGCTGGTGATGTGGACAAAGAAATACTTGTTGCTTCTGGTGATAAATCTGTAGTTGTTGAGGAAATTGGTAAGAAAGGAACTCATTTGCAAACAGATGAAGTCAGAGAGGCTCCAAAAAGACATGTTTTTAATCTTGACACAGAATTTTCCAAAGTGAATCTGTCAGGTAATCTTATGACTGATCATGCCCTTCCTGGAATGCCGCCAGAGTTGTTCAGCTCAAATAGCTCGTTAAATGATATTGTAGACTTGGAAGAGTTTGAAAAAGAGTGTGCCCTTGAAATGTCATCTGGTCACATTCAGGAGTTCTCATTAACTCATCTAACACTACCAATGCTGGAATCTTCAGCGGAAAACTATAATCAGTGTAAAGATGCAGCTTTTCTCATTAACACCATCAGGACAGTGTTTACTTCATCTGAAGCTCTGAATGACAGTTTTAGAACAGCTAATGGGGAAAATCACAATTCTCTGGATGTTCCTGCTGTAAGAGAAGCATACAAACTCCTTTTGAGTTTAGAGCCTCAGAATACATTTGTTCAGCCACTTCTGAATTCCCTCGAGATTCACCTCACAACCTTGAGCTCTTTGGTTTTAAATCCAGACGGAGTGGCACAGCTGGTCATTTTGATAGAGAATCCACTTGTACAAGACTCTCAAGCCCTCTTATGGAAAATGTGCTTGGTGTTAAGTAATCTATCAGTTGATTCAAGGAAGGCCTTGATCAAGATTTTATCCTGTTATGATGTAGATTCCTTCAAGCACCTCCTTCAGGTATGTTGAGCAATGATGTTTTTGTTTTGGCTGTTGCTCTTAGAATTGCAATGATATGCATTAATGTAGGATATACTTGAGATTTTGCATGTCTTTTTTTGCTGGATCATTAATGGGGATATATATTTGTCAAACCTCTCAGATAATTTTTTATTTTGATGATCAGAAGTTCGTAACTTACCAATGATGGCTGTGGCAACAGCAAGAAAGACTTGCTCAATGTATTTGCCCTACTCATTTCAGCTCAGTTGTGTGGTCTTATTTATAGTACTGAATTGGTGATTGATACTCTGAGTTACTATAAATTATTAGCATATTCATTCCCAGGCAAGTGCAAATGCTGATTGTCTTTAATTTTTCTCCCTGATCACCAGGTTTTCCAGACGTATCTGAGCAGCCTGATTTCACCAGGCCAGTGTAGCAAGCCACGCTTGCTAGAAGCATGTAAAACTTTAGCCATACTCTACGACACCTGCTATCAACTCAACAAGAAAAGAAAAGAGGAATTTGTTCCTCTTTCTGACTTTTACAATGAAGATCTCTCACTGAAAATGGATTTCAAGAAAGAATATGAGCACTGGAGAACTTTGCAGGAATCAAACAGGTACTTGTTAGTTGTGACATGATTGCTGCTTCAGCCACAAAATATCTCAATAATTCATACAATGTTAAAATGTTGATGTATTATAACTGAAAGACATAAATTTGATAAATGATGAAAATGGAAAATTATATAATTTTTTTTCTTTTCCAGATCGCAAAGTGGTCAAAAATTATCCCTTCTTGATTATCCATTTCTATTCGACCCAACTTCAAAGGTAATGCGAAATCTAGCGACATGATATTTGTGGCACAACACATCAGTTTGTACATATATGTTGTATTTTTTTTTTAACCCTTTAACCCCTAAGAGTGATAAGAATCTAATTTCTCCTAGTAGTATCACCCCTGGACCAAATATTAAGGTAAGGAGAATTAACCCTTTAACTCCCAGAAGTGATCAACATATAACTTCTCCCTATAATATCCATACATTATCCAACAAACAGGTAGTGAGATTATTCAAACTTATCAGGTATGATAGTATCTTGATTGAACACCAAATTCTTGCAACCATTTTACAAGGAAATGTGTAGCATTTAGAGGAGAGAATTAACTATCAGATCTTGCTAGTTAAAGGGTTAAGGAAGTGATAGCAAATTCAAGAAGCTCTTGATTATAACACAAATTCTCTTTACCAGTACCATAGGAACTGTAAGGAGCTCAGTATGGAGAAAATTAATGCTAATCTTAGAGTGCAAAGGGTTCAGTGAGTTTCAGGCCAAATTGATTGTGGATATCTCTGATGTGAGTAAAATGCCGAAAACCAAAACCAAACCATAAAAAATTCTTTTCAACCTGAAGTAATGGTTGGGGTGTATTAATTAAAAAAAAGTGGAGAATATTTGCTGGTAATTTTTAAGAGAAAAAAAAAGGTTATAAGGAAAACTGGTTATTTTATGTATTGATCAGTTACAACAGAGATTTTGCAGTATTTCATGGAATGTCAAATTTCCAAACTACTTTGGTGTAAAAAACTATTTTACCATACAGGTACAATTATATCATTATATGGTACACAGGACTTTCTGTCCTATTTTTGTTGTATGATTTCATGTGTTTCCTTGGGAACAAGCCCAAATTAAGTCCTGTGTTTTCCAAATTCAGGTGAGAGTCCTTAAAATTGATGCTGTATCACAGATGAGAGTGGAATATCAAAATGCAATTGTCCATCAGGCCCGTGTACAACAAGCACAGAGACTATGGGAAGAGGCACAGAAGAAAACCAATGAATTGGAAGATGCTGTCAAATCTGCCATGTGTCCATTTCTTGTTCTGGAAGTTCGCCGAGATAATTTGATTGAGGATACATTAAATCAGATCAACCTCAAGGTCATTGACTTAATTGTTTTCTTGTGTTTGTGTTTTTATGAAATGCACAGAGAAGTGGAACCAAAACATTTGATCACCCCATTTATAAGACCACCTTGTTCTCTTTACTGTCACAAAACCCCTCTCCTTTTCAGGAGTATAGGTGTAAGTATAGACTCAAATGTACTGGTTTTTACATGTGATGATTTGGTTCAGATTCTGAGGGCTGGTTGTTTAAACAAAATTTAGCTGTTGTTAAACAAAACTGCATTCTAAGCCGTCTTCAATTTGGCAGACCCGTATATCTGAACATTTATTTTTGTGAACAGTGAACAGTGTCAAGGGGGCCCAAAGCTCATAATGAAAAGACAGTTATCCAATTAAATCAACCATCTTGTAGAGAATCCCTTAGGCTCACCACTTGCATAAAACCATGGTTTGGGTTTGACCTTGTGTCAATAACCAGCTCTGAGAATTTGATGTAGGATTACTCAATTAATGTTTTCTTTTTTTTCCAACTACAGGAATTTGACTTGAAAAAACCACTGAAGATAAAGTATGTTGGTGGAGGAGAACAAGGGCTGGATATGGGAGGACTGCAGAAAGAATTCTTTCACATGATTGTTGAAGCTATCTTTGACCCTGGTAGATATATTTTACAATAATTTTTGGATACATGGTGGTCCCTAAGGGACTTTTCTTGAACACATGTGAAAAGTCAGCTGAGAGAACACATTTGAGAATATTGTCAGGTGGTTCCAGCTGACTGACAGACAGATTGACCAAATGGATCACAGAATAACTGACTGATATGCTTACTCACCGACTCAATGAATGATATGCTGACTAACTGACTGTCACAGTCTTTAACTGACTGACCAGCTAACAGATATATTTACTTACTGGCTCAATGAATGCTACACTGACTTACTGACTGTCTCAGTCTCAGTCTCCGACTGACTGACCTAACTGATTAACTGATGAATCTAACTGATGTACTGACTTACTGACTCACTGACTGGTGGACTGACTGACCAACTGAACAACTCAATTACTTACTGACTGAGTGACTGACTGATAAGTTGAATTTGAAAAAGAAATAATAATGAATAAATAAGAATAAAGTGGTTGAATTAGTTCATTTAACTAAATTATTTTCGTTTTCTCGTAACCATGTTCCCACCAATAGCATAGCTCTATTTTCTGCATATAAGCAAACACACAACCCACAGTTCCTCCATTTGCTGTGACGAAGGGCTAACGCTCGAAACGTCAGCTTTGAAACTCTCTACGGAGGCCAATTTACGTTATCAACTCACTTGACAACACCAAATTTCCTAGCTATACTCTCCTACCGACGCAGCACCACATTTTCTTTTAAAAACTTACCACCTCTATTCACTTGACTGAGTGACTTACCAAAGATCCTTATATGCAATGTTACAGGAAAGATCAACACCACTAGTATAGATTGATGATATTTAGTAAATGACGGTGTTTTGCTTCATAGGAATCAGATGAGGATTTGTCATATTGATGGTTTTTTATGCTTTCTCTCTTTCTTTATTCAGGCTATGGGATGTTCACTAACATTGATGAAACACATTGTGTTTGGCTAAAAAGCTCCTCTCTTGAATCAGAGAAGGAATTTGAGCTGGTTGGAATTCTTCTCGGCTTAGCAATCTACAATGGTATCATATTAGATGTGCATTTTCCTCCTGTGATTTACAAGAAGCTTCAAGGAGAGAAACTGGACTTACTTGATTTAAAGAGCATACAGCCTTCTCTCGCCAGAAGCTTAGGGGAGTTACTGCAGTTCGAGGGTGATGTGGAAGACACATTTTGCTATACTTTCCAGGTAATGCTGAAGAGAAACTTTTAAGTAATTCGTTCTAGACTACTAGTAATCCCTCTGTATCAGTGGATTCCGTCGCGTGTGTTGATTGGAAAAATATTCAAGGGGTGCCGGGGAATATTTAGCCGATGCAGAGCGCGGGGAGAACGATTGTCAACCAAGTCTGATTGGCTGAAGATTTTGCATCTTAGCTTTGATAGGTTTAGGTTGTGTATAGGATCCATTGCAAAGTGTACAAAGCAAAAAAAAATTGATAATACAAAAATGATAACGGTTACAGCCGTCAGCCGAAATTAGGACTCGCCTTTTCTGTAATTTTTTTTTTTCACAGGTTTCTTCAAGTGAGTTCGGAAATCTTCAAAGTATAGAACTTCTACCAAACGGCGAAAACATCTTTGTAACGAACAGCAATAGAGAGCAGTTTGTCTCACTGTATGTCAATCACCTTCTTGTCAAATGTGTTGAGAGGCAGTTCGGGGCATTTTCACGAGGATTTCATAAGGTATGTAATTTTCTTGGAGACAAAAAAAGTTTTCTTGTGGTAAAGAAAGTAAAGCCCGCTTAGCGGTTGAGGGAGCTAGGTGAAGTCAGAAATCGTCGAAAGGAATTTCAGCCGTCGGTTTTTTCCTTAGATCTATCCCATTGAGATAAAATTTCGTCGGGGCCGTCAATTGATTGGTAGCTTTGAACGTCGTAAACAGTCAGAAAAGCCACCGGACATATTTATTATTAAAATTTTTCAGTTATTTGATGCCCCTAGTAGTGCGCATTTCGACCGACCGTCGTCAAGCCAAATCCGAAGTGATCTCACAATAGCTAATGCACAGGCAGCGAATGAGAACAAGCAAGCAAACAGCCTGTTGCGCGGGAAAACGCGGGCGACCATTTCACGGACCTTAAGTTTTTAATTTGATTGGTCGAGGAAGTGGTGCGAATTTTCTGAACCAATCAAAAATCAAGTAAAGCAAAACAAAAGCAAATTCGGAATACTTTCGACGCTCAATCGGAAATTGTGATATCGATTGTTTCTTGTTTGGTTTGGTTGTTTTCAGGTATGTGGAGGCGAAGTGCTGACACTATTCCGTCCTGACGAGCTGGAACTTCTAATCTGTGGGTGCCCTGTGATTGATTTCTACGAGCTTGAAGTAGCAGCCACATACGAAGACGGTTACAACCACAGTCATCCCACAATCACAATGCTGTGGAAAGTTGTTAATGAGATGACTCTGGAACAGAAGAAAGCGTTTCTCATGTTTGTCACTGGCAGTGATAGAGTGCCTCTCAAAGGGCTGGTTAATTTTACTTTTATTGTGCAGCGCCATGGAGAGGATTCTGACAGACTTCCGGCAGCTTTAACGTGTTTTAACAGGCTTCTGTTGCCTGAGTACAGCACTAGAGTGAAGCTGAAGGAGCGGTTGATTGTGGCGATTGAAAATTGCAAAGGTTTTGGACTTACTTAGATTTCATAAGGCTTGACGGACAGTTGTTAGGCGAATTGAATCATAGAGCCATTCACAAGAAAAAAAAAAACAACAAAAAGCACATCGAGATGAACCAATCAGAAATCGATGAAGTAGTGTGTGAGCGATGATTGGCATGGGAAAAATCGAAGACGATGTAAAGCCCGGGAATACATTTAACAGGCAGCGAGTACGAAGCGAGCTTTGTACTGACAAGCTTGAAAGTGACAATGGCGGGAAAATTTGTCGCAGGTGTGGGAAAGCGCGAAACTGATGGTAGTCACAGGAAAGCGCGGGAAAACCCGATCGAAGACGAAGATTGCCGTGGATTATACGCTGCGGTGTGGTCTGATTGGTCGTAACGGTGTTAATTCATGGTTGCCGTTTATCGAGAGTAATATGGTACAAAAAATCCAGGGAATTGAGCAATCATCATCTGAAATACAAAATGTAAAATGAACACGAGAATTTTGCAATAAGTGCGAGGAAAAGCGGATTTGTGACTGATCCTGTTTTGAAGTTTCTCTCGCGTATTGTACAGATCATTAAACGTTTGACTACGTGCAAGTTGGAGGTAACTTAAAAAAATGTTTCACACGTGTGTTTTGAAAATAGAGAATTTGTTATTTGTACGAGGTTGCGTATTTTTTGAAATGTAATATATTGAAAGGTTTACAATGATGGTTGGTGAAAATGGAATTTATCTTCAATTTAAGGGAACAATATCTCTTTGAAAAGTTGTTATTTATTGGTCAATTAATATTTTGGGTTTTTTGTTACTTTTTCCTTTTTTTTTCGAATCAACGGTGAGGACAGGTTGTCGAGCAGGAAGTATAATTTATATTGTAAAATATGTAAATAGTGAATTTGAAAGTTACTGCTTTTTATAACAAATTATTTCCTAAATTATTTCCTAAATTTTCAGAAGACAGGCGGTTTTCTTAATTGTGATTTTAAAGTGAATACTTTTGCCTAAAGAATCCCCGAACAAACCTTTAAAATTTTTGATCGTGTTGCATTCTTTGTAAACACTATTCAGGAAATGCCTCAAACAATAAATTTGTTTCCTCCATATTTGTCAATTTCTTTGGTATTTTTATTTAATTTATTGATATTTCCGATCTCTTTAGTTGTGTGTTTCGTGGCTCTGAATAAACATACCTTAACAAATTTTCTTTGGTTTTTGTCTTATCCTTAGTTTTTCCATAAGAAATGTTATAAGCGGTCACTTATAATGAGACGATGGATCGCTGAGAAGGGAATCTGTTCGTGGGTATTGGACAACTCTCAAGAGTTTGATACAATGAGTTATGAGGTTAACTCCCCTCACACAGATTACTCTTAGAACACTTTACGGATACAAAGTCAGCTAGAATCTAAATAATTCGTGCACATGAGTGGTATTGGTAAAACCTGCAACCGATAAACGTGATAACCGTCACGGAATGACACCGTTACCTCACGCTTCTGTCACGGCCAATTTACTAGTTTTCTGTTTGCGCGCAAAACTTGTTCAAATTCATTCTCGTATGAAATTCATTTTCGTTGCCTCTTTCATTCAGAATAGCTTCATCCTTTTTCGAGGGAAGTTTGGCTAAGTATTCACTTCTTTTTTTACACTATCAAAAAAAACAAAAACAAAAACAAAAAAGCGACGAACTGTGCTGCTTATTTTGCACTCCATTTGTGCCTACATCTTTAATCTCGTACGCAGGCTGTGATGATCACGAGACGCCTGACTAAATTTGACGAAAAAGTTGACATACTCTTGAGGTGCCGATGGATTCACAGTCTTGAATTATGATCATGTCCCCCAGATACACGTTCTAGACATGTAAATTCGCGTATCACTACCATTTGTCAAGATGCTTGGGAGAGGAAACTCTATTTTATTACAAAATCTCAGGAAAAAGACCGGTTCTGTTTTTAGACATCGACTGCAAAGGTAACTTGATAAAAATTTGCCTTCTAAAATATTTATGATAAATACAGCGAATAAGCCAAGCCTAAATGCGAAGAAAACGGAATGGCAATAATTTTTTGAAGATGATAAGTTTCAATAGATCATTTTCTTAATCATTTAAAGTACTAATCGGAAATAGTTGACGAAACGGAGACTTAAGAGGCGCATGATGGCCTAGCAGGTCAAGAGAAACCGGCGCATATCTCGGACGGCAAGGAACTGGACAAGGTTTTAAAGTGGATTACAAATTATGCTCTTGGATCAGTTGGGTCAAATTTAAGCAGATGCAAAAAAAAATGTTTCATGGCTCCTTGAATTCTAATATTCACAGATGTATGGCCACTCAGGCATCGTATGACGTGGTTGTGGTTGGAGGGGGGATTGTTGGACTGGCGACAGCCAGGGAACTGATCCACAGACATCCCACATTAAAGCTTGCTGTTGTAGAGAAAGAGAATGAACTTTGTAAGTGTATAACTCATTTTTACAGCTGACTGGAGCTCAAGGCAGGATTCCTACAAAGCTACATGCTTCATTATACATACAGCTCTTGGATAAAGGAAACAATTGTGAAAAAAAAGATGATTGCTTTTGGGACAATGGCTTTGTTTTAAAGCAGTATGAGGTTTTATGGGGTTTTAAAGAAATCCTTCCAAGCTCCATTTCTATCCAGCTATTATTGTTTATATTATGGGACACTGTTATGTTATGGGTTTTTTTGTCTTTAATGAAACATGAAACTCCCTCAATGAATATGAAGTAAACAATATGGATTACCAGTCACATTTTTTTAAGTGCACCATATTGTCCATTAAATTTACACTTACATGTTAAATTTATAATTGACATGCCTTTCATTTTGTATCTAGCTGTCCATCAGTCAGGAAAAAACAGTGGAGTCATTCACTGCGGTATATACTACACCCCAGGCTCCCTGAAGGCTAAGTTGTGTGTGGAAGGACTGGACCTGAGCTACAAGTATTGTAATGAAAAGAATATTCCCTATAAAAAGTGTGGAAAGGTATGCTTTTGATGTTTGAGTGGTGAAGTCCCCCATTTAGTGCTTAACTAATATAAAGCCTAAGACGAAAGAGGTACTAATTTTGTCTTTTTGTTTAACCTTTCAACACCATGACATCAGTATGCTTGATTCCCCATACTGTTTTCCATACATTTTCTCTTGTATTGACAAGGAGAATTTATTTAATAATCAAGAGCTGCTTTATTTGCTATCATTACTTGGAGTGAAAATTAAGACAAGCATTTGCCAACATTCATCTTTACTTCTCTAGATAATTGTAGCAGTGGAAAAGAAAGAGCTACCTCAACTTGAAAAGTTATATCAAAGAGGCCTAGAGAATGGGGTAAAAGATCTGAAAATATTAGACTCAAAACAAATCAAAGACGTTGAGCCGTATTGTGAGGTGAGTATTCCCTCACCTGAGTTTTTAAAACTAAAATTTCATAGCACCAGGGCATTTTTTCCTCTTTATGCTAATAACATCAGAACACTTTTTAGTGTAGAAATGTTGTTTATCTGATCATGAGTTCTTCTAGATTTTTTCTCCTTATTCTCTTGTCTGTTTTTGTAACAGATATATGATAGTACAAGAGAAAATTATGTGTTGTACTTTGGTGAATTTTTTTTTAAAGGGTGTATCTGCTATCTTATCACCAAATACTGGGATAGTTGACTGGGCAGAGGTGGCACGAAGTTATGGAGAAGACTTCAAGAAGGCGGGTGGTGAAATATATACTGGTTATGAGGTCAGAAGATATTCTTGTCTGTATTTGTTATTCATTGCATCATACTTTTGACCCTTATGAGTGACTTGCATCTAATTTCTCGTACAATATCACCCTTGAATCACTCATTCAAGGTAATGAGAATGAAGGAAATGATCCCCAATTTTAAAGGCTCTTGATTGTTAAACAAATTCTCCTTGTCAGTAGCATAGGAAATGTATAGAGAATAGTATCGAGAATATGCAGACTGATGTTGGGGTGTAAGGGGTAAAGCCTGTCTACAGTGGTGCTAATTTCAAGGTTTTCATTTTTTTTACTCCTGGATATGAGACGCATATTCTTTACATTTCCTAAGATGTTGATAAGGAGAATTTATTCAACAATCCAGAGCTTCTTTAGTTTTGATTTTATCCTTTGCTCTTGTGACCTCAATGTTTGATTCAGGGCTGATATTGTGAGGAGAAATTGGATGCTAATCACCCTTAAGGGTTTTAAGGGTTCATTTTCTCTTTTTAGGTTACAGATTTCACATGTAGTCCTGAAAGCAGTCGTTCCCAGGAAAAAGAAGCAGGTTTGACAGAATATTTAAAATTGCTATATATCTGTACAAATTTGCCATGCTGGTGCAGTATGCTGAAATTTTGCAACTTTTTTTTTGGCAGGTCACACTCATCCTGTTACCGTATGTGGAAAGAATGTTGTAAGATATTGCCTTTTTCCTCTTCTCTTTGTCATGTGTTCACATTACAAACATTTTTACATTCACAAAACTATTGATCTTTGCATATCGACCTTCCAGGCTTGAAACTTGCCTAACAGAGAGATGAAACCAGATATTCTTCAACTGAGTGGCATATGCTTTGTGCATACCACAAAGTAATTTCCTTTTTTCCTTTTCAGTCTCCCCTTAGTTGTCGCTATGTTGTAACATGTGGAGGCCTGTACTCAGATCGCCTGGCAGAGAAGTCTGGTTGTGAAAGTGATCCAAGAATTGTTCCATTCCGAGGTGAATACCTCAAGTTAAAAGATGAGAAGAGTCATTTGGTGAAGGGAAACATCTATCCAGTGAGTCTCAGTGGCAAAGGGCCCCTTAATAAATCAAAAATGAAAAATTTTCAAGAATATTTAATCCTTTTGTTGTATAGCTAGGAAGTAGCCCTTGCCTGACATTTTTTCAATGAATGAACTGTTCTGACCAGTCAGTTCTGACTTACAGAAGCATTTTTTGTCCTAAAGTTTCCAATGGTTGAGAGGTTGAAAGATTTGAATTAAGGGTAGTAAGGAAAAGAAGTGTTAACCCTTTAATTCCCATGAGTGACCAAGACAGAATTTCTCCTTACTATATCTATACAATATCATGTAGACAAGTATCAAGGAAAATATCAATTATTGGACAACTAATTGATCTGGTACCAAATTCTCCAAACAAACATAATGATAATTGTTTGATAGACAGTAAGGAGAATTACTAGTGAGATCTTGGGAGTTAAAGGGTTCATTCTTTTCATTCCAACATGAGCATCCATATTCTCTATAATCTTTTCTGTACATTTCCTATGTCACTGACAATGAGAATTCGTGTAACAATCAAAGCTTTGTAGCTTGGTGATCATTTCTTTATTCTCATGATCTTAATGAATGATTCAGCAGTATTACTGCAAGGAGAAATAAGATGCTGGTCACTCTTATTTTTAAGGGCTAAGTGTGATTTATGTGTTCTGCTTTGGTTTTAGTTAACCCTGTAAACCTTAAGAGTGTCTAGAATCTAATTTCTCTATACAATATCACTCCTGAATCACACATTAAGGTCATGAAAATAAAGGAAATGATCACCAATGAAACTTTTTGATTGGTAAACAAATTCTCCTTGTCAGCACCTTAGGAAATGTATTAAGAACATTATGGAGATTATACCTACTGATGGTTAGTATTTTCCCTCTAGTATGATGCTATAGTAGCAGATGGTTTCCCAGTAAGCAGAAACACCAGTTCTCCTCAAGGGCTTGTTTGGACCAGTTTACACCAGTCAAGAAGACTCTACTTATTCATTAGTTTACTTGATGTTTTTGTAGGTACCAGACCCCAACTTTCCTTTCCTTGGGGTCCACTTTACTCCGCGCGTTGATGGCAGCGTGTGGCTTGGGCCTAACGCAGTTTTAGCATTTGCCAGGGAAGGTTACAAACTTACAGATGTCAATGTGAAAGACTTAGTGGATGCCCTGGGCTACCGGTGTGTTGCTTCCCTTCTTTTCCTGAAAATGTTGCGTCATTTTTTTCAATCGACATCACGGAATACACGATCTTTACTTTTTTATAAAGGACCTTAAAACATAGTAAATTCGTTTGATGAAATTCAGTTGATCGCTCTCCACTGGTCCTCAAGCAACTCTCACGCATCTTTTGTTCCCAAACTTTTGATTGACTCTTTACACCCTAATGTCAGTAGGCAAATTATCCATACTGTTCCCTGAACATTTTTGATCGTACCAACAAGGAGAATTTGTTTAACCCTTTAAGTCCCACTAGTGACGTAGACAGAATTTCTCCTTACACTATCAGTACAATACCAAGCAGACAAGTAATGAGAATAAAGAAAAATATCAATTAGTGGATTATTGGCTGGTCCAATTCCAAATTCTCCACACTAACATCATATGGATTGTATGACAGACAGTAAGGAGAATTACTAAAGAGATCTTGGGAGTTAAAGGGTTAAGGAAAGGGCTGCTTTGTTTGGTGATCATTTCCTTAAATGTTGGTTACATTGTAAGGAGAAATAAGACGCTACTTACTCTTAGGGGTCAAACGGTTGATGCACCCTGATGAATGAACCAACTTTAAATTAACCATTTTTTTGTTTTCCAGGGGTCTAAGGAAACTTATGTTTAAATACTTTATGTTTGGTGTTGGGGAGTATTATCGCGGGATTATCATATCTGCCCAAGTTAAACAGCTTCAGCGATACGTTCCCAGTCTGAAATTGGAAGATGTAGAGAGGTGAGAGACACTGAATACAAAATAACACAAATTAAATGACACGCAATCGTTGCGTGACGTTACTTGGAAGATGTGAAATCTATATGTCACGCGAGGCTATTTCTAGCGTGTCTCTCTCGCGCGCCTCCTCCTCCGCAACTCTTCTCCCTTGCACGTTTCTCTCACGGGTTTTCACTTTCTCAACCCGACACATCTCATGCACCCAGTGACTCAGTTCCAAGCAAGCCTAAACCCATGTTTTTTTTTCAACCAATCGCAGAGGACCAGCAGGAGTTCGTGCCCAGGCGATGGACCGTGAGGGAAATTTGGTAGACGATTTTGTGTTTGACGGAGGAGCAGGGGACATAGGAAGCCGTGTCCTGCATGTCAGAAATGCGCCTTCTCCTGGGGCCACGTCTTCTTTGGCTATTGCAAAAATGGTCGCCGAGAAGGTCCAAGATCGTTTCAATCTGTAGGAACCTGTTGGGATCCAAGACAGTGAAACAATAATTCTATGATTGCGCTAAATAATACAGTTTAGCTCGAAGATCCTGCAAAATATAAGGGGGGGGGGG